GAGAGAGAGAGAGAGAGAGAGAGAGAGAGAGAGAGAGAGGAGGGAATCTCGGACGCGTAATTACTCGCGTGCTTTTCACGCACACCCCGGCATTTGTCGACATAACTTTTTCACCCCTTGTCCATTGTCGTTCATTGGGCTTTTAGCAGTACCCTCTCTGAAATATGAGACTTTGGGATTTGTCGAAAATTCTTTCCCTTGGCAAGCAAGTGCCGTTGTTGCGGAGTCTTCGTGTAAAATTGCGCCACAAAGTTGGGTAAATCCTTCGGCTTTGATAATATAAATTCTTTGACAATGTGTTCTTCGGCTCTTGTCACAACTTTTATTAAATATCCTGCTTCAATATTCCGTATGACTTTAATCATCGGAATACATTGTAATTTGTTATTATTTTTTTAATTCTTTTTCGTTATCTAATTATGTACCTTCCATTCTATTTTTATATTATATTTTAATTGCTGAAGAAGACTAATTGTAAGTAAAGTTGAAACGTACAATGCTTTTCATCTTATTTTTGTAAATAAATTTGTGTTTTACTTTAAACTGACATCTTATTATGCTTGTTATTGGTCGTTGACCTTTCTTTCAAGTTTTGCTTTTTAGATCGAGCGTTTAACTCTTTTTTAATTCTTTGGCTTTATTGACAAGCTTATTTTAGCGATCGTAATTCGTGATACGACGCAATACGGTGAATGTAATGTGTTTTAATCTTCGCCATACGACCGATCGCAAGTTCTTCTTCTACTTTTAATTCCTTTAATAGACGTATCACAGTACTCGAGCATATTATTTATGGAGCTACAGTAGCGGTCGATAGATTCGCTTTTTCATTATTAAAAGCGTACGCTTGACAAATATTCGCAAAGCTTACGCGTGACCAGTGCGATAATTTCAGGGTCGATGAAAATGGCAAGCGTATGCGATCGATAATCATTTAATCGGTGCCTTAATTAGAGTCTAACGAGCTTACGAATGCGTGATTTATGCTGGAGGAAGATAAATACGGGCGGGCGAAATTTAAGCGGATTTTAAAATCGCTTTACCGCGCGGACGCACGGTCGAAAGATTTAGCGTATATGGCGCTAAAGCTAAACGAAAAGGCCGAAACTGTATACATTTGATAAGCGCGATAGGCGAAAGTGCAAACGAATGTCGCCGTTGCGCTGTCACGACGAAGCCCTTTTCCGTTCGCGATGAAAACGCGAAGCAGAGATACGTAACCGTTATATCAAACGAGCGTGGTCTTTGAATAATGCATGAGGGCGAGTGATATGCGCGAGGCGGAGAGGCATATTTTCAGCACCACTGGCGTTCTCTTTTTTTTCTGCATTCCAGCAAGATGCACGCTGTTCTGTTTCTCATTTTTGGCTCACAAACGCAATGCGATATTTTTCATGTAAATCCATTCAAATAGTAGACACGTAGGACAGAGAGAATCTTTCATTACAGCGCGCCTTCAATTCTCTAGAAACGAGTGTTTCTCGAAGGCAACTGGAGTGCTTAATAAAGAAGTTATTCTACAGTTAAGATAGTCTATAGTTTGATTTATAATTCGCGCGTCAGATTTTAGGATAGAATTTTAAATGTACTCTAATGCACATTTTAAATATGTGCGTATTTTTGATTCTTCAAATGCTTTTTATATTACACGGCACCGTAAAATTACAAAAGATATCTATTCTGAATTCTGAGACAAATAGATTGTCTTGGGTTTTAAAATCAAACTGAAGTAGATTTATATAGTTCAATTTTAATTACTATGTTTTTTCATTAACAAGTCCGCATTTTAATTTAAAGGCCGTCACAGCAGAGAATATCTCATTGTGGAGGGAAGCGATCGACCCAAAAAAAGACATCGGCATGTTACGGCGAGCAAACGTCGCGATGCCGATGCAAGCGGTACGTTCACGTATATTTACACACAAAACGATAAAAATTTAATCTAAAAGTTTTAATTATATTTATGAACTAATATTTATTTATTACGCCCCGATGATTGACGAGGTGAGCTAAAACTTTTTGGATATTCGTTTACAGTTAACGTGACAAAGATTGAGGTGATGCTCGAGGAAGCACCAGACAGCATCACCGTCGGTTCCATGTCATCTGAATTGGAAGCCACCACCGAACTTAATTCAACCTTTCCCCACGGTGAGTCTAATATAACTTTATTTAATATAATCCAATTGGAATTGTAACTCTTGTATATTTCTGGTCATGCCATGTTTCACGATATTTCTTTGTCCAGCCTTGTTAAGATATAAAGATGTCCTTTTTAGCCCTGCCTTTTTTTTCCCTCAAAGGACATAATGAGAATTAATGGTAGTCTCCGAAGTCTTCTTAATTCTTCTTCGTTCATGTTATTTGTAACTAGGAAAATACGCTTTTTTTACTTCTCGTTTCACTTCTCAAAAAATACAAGAAGTTGTATTTGTTACATAATTCTCTCTTAATATACTTGATGAAGTCTTAACACGAGTTTTTATCTTATCGTTATACCCCGAAGAACAGAAAGGAAACATGATTGAAAAAAGACACGACCAAGAGTTTGATGGGATCTCTGAAACATTGATCATGAATGATATTTCAATTTGGAAGAATCCCAAGAGAGTGGTCAGGGACCCTTCATATATCGTCCGTATTTTTGTCATGAATTTTTGACACGACTCTCCTCGGTTTCGCTGTGACAAACAAAAAGAAATATGATTCGTAGGGGTAAATGTATTTTTTAGGATAAATGTTTACCTTTCGCACGTCGATTTAATTTTACTTTCATCAACCAACGGAAAGTTATTCAGAGAGGATCATTTCATATCTCACGAAATCTCCATGAAATCTACACGATCGCGACGGAATAATGGTTCCACGGTCGGTGAGTGGAATGCATTATGCTGTTAATTGAGTAAATAATTGATTATCGCAACGTGCGAAACGCGGAAATTTTCCGATATCTAAGTTTTCGCTAATCCGATACCGTTTAGGCACGTTTCACGGCCGCTAACCATTTTAGTTTTATGCAAAGCTATAAACGGGCAGCAGGTTTATACTTCATGACACTCTACAGATTTTAAAAATGATTGTTGGTGACGGAAGATTGGTCGCGTAATTTTTCTGCAGGGATGAAAACGTGAAAAGTGAAAATTTATATTAATTTGGCGTACTTGATGAAATTCGCGATAAACCACTTGCGATACAATCTAACATGCTACGAGGAAAAATAAGTATTCCAAAATTCTGTAATGTGTTACGTTTTTGCAGTTACTTTAATTAAATTTTAATTTCTTAACTCTGCAAATTTTAAAAATGCATGATAACTCTTGTCACTGGAAGACAAAGAGAGGAGATTTAAAGCAGATATAAATTATGTATAGACTGTCGTCGCAAACTACGTATATTTTCTACGTATACATACAGCACGGATGCCAGCAACGAGTAGGCGAGCATTGTATAATGGAATCTGTCTAGTTCTTTTTCTCCTTCTGATTTTCTATACGATAGCCCGCGAGGTGAAGTTCTCTCTTCAGACACCGCGTTCGATCCGCGTAGGACGGCGGGATATCAATTTATCAGTTCGATCGTTTGCCATGCGAACGTGCTATGATACATCGTTAGACGGCATTGTAGGACCGCCCAACAAAGGTTTTACGTGTGACTGAACATCGAATTGTACCCCTGAGCGATATTTCCTGAGTCTATATTTTCTCGCTTGCAGCTAGCCGAACACGTTCGCGTAGTTAACTCATAGATCAAAGGATGCACAAGAGAAAATTAGGTCACATTATCGTGATGGTTGGTTTAACTTTAATCTCAGTACTAATCTATATTAATAGTGCCCACGCTGTGTATTCTTTCAACATTAATCTTTCAACACAAACTTATAACTTCCTTCGTCCCTTAGTCCAAAGTTTTTACACACTCTAGCGTAAGAAACGAGAACGGATTTAATCGGGGATTGCAGGCACAGGCGCGGTAGTGGTGCGAGCGGAGGAAGCCCTGATCGTCATTCTCGTCCTGGTCCTGTGGGTGGCTGCCATCGCTCTGTTTTTCAATCGATGGGGCAAGATCCGCATGCTCGAGCCGTATCAGCCGAAATTTCAGCAACAGCACAGACAAAGCTGCACCACCATAATCGACCCAAACCCCCTTCAGGTAAGTGCATTCGTGCCGCGCGCTCGCTCTCATCTCCGAGTGAACTCTCTTATTCCGCATGGGTAGTTGGCACAGAGAATGTCTGTACACAGTTGTTGGAACACGTCAAATTGCATCGTCGGATTAGCATAATGCACATTATCCGCACAAATGTGTGACGTAAACAGCTCTGTATGTCAGACTATGTTCTACATGACGCCGAATTGATTATGTATCTGTATATGTATCTAGAGATGTTAATCATTAATTCTTGCGACTAATGGGTAATCAGATAAAAGTAAATTAACGGTTTTCATTTATTTGGGAGGCATTGATTGCACACATTGCTTGATAAAGTTTGCAAGGTAATTAACGGAATTGAATTCGCTCTATAGCAAAGAATTTTAGGATTATTATTACGGTTGACTTGATATTTTCCCTTAAATTTCATGAATTTAATATAATTTTGTGTAACGTATCGTCATCATTGTGTATTTAATTAAATTAAATAATTCGCGAAGTTTCTTCGTGGCGCGTAAATTAATGCATTTTGCGGAACACAAATATCGCAGTTATACATATATATATAGCGAAGTGGAAATTAAATTTCCCGATATATACATCATGTAGCGACGCCGAGATTCTGATTATTTTCCATTTAATTACCAAAATAACGGCGAGCATTACGGCATACGGCTGGAGGGCAAACTCGGTATGTTAAACCGCCGTTAAAGGAGATTTGCAAACTCGTGAAACTGGTGTAATAACTACCGTAAACCTATCCAAGATACTGAGCCGGTTAAACGCCATGTAAGTGTCCTAATACTTTATTGCTCAATTAAAGAAAGGGTAAATGTCAAGGTCCTAATAACGTTTGCTTTGGAAGAAATACCGTAAACTTTAGAAGAAATACTGTAAATTTTTAATTTAAGCACAAAATACTTTATCTTTTTCTTAATGAAATTTACAGCCTAGTAAATACACGCGTATATAATGTGTCGTATATTATGGCATTGCAAGCAATAACTTGCACGTGAACGCTACCGACGCGAGCTCACGCGAAAAATAATGTATTTTTCATACGCCACGCGGGTCACGTAGACGTCAACCTTCTTGCTTCTACACAGATTTTACGTATAGGTTCATAAATTCACTCGTATCTTTCACCGGATCCTTATGGTAATTCAGCTTCAGCTTCCAAATCGTGCCATTCTTAGAAATCGAACCGGTCTGGAGTACCGCAGATCGTGTAAATTCTGCGTCGCAAAAAAGAATATCAATTACAAGCAGCTTAAAAAGAAGAATTTAATGAAATTGGGATTAATTTTAAAATATCATCTTTTACTCCTCGATTAAGTTAACTTTCTCTTAGAAGAGTGTTAAATAAATTTCTGCGCAAAGATACTCGATCGGCGGCTCTCTGAATCGAGGGAGTGCATATCTAGTAAGTCAAACATATCCAGTAAGTTAAACCGTCGATATCTCCATATTCGTTCTATATTCCAAATGCGCGCTTCGGGAGTTCCTAAATCTTGTAGCGCCCATTAAACTGCCAAACGCATTTATGTAACGGCTTATTTATGATTTATAGATAAATGCAAAATAAACGAGAGGATTTACTGCTGCGTGTTTGTTATAAATTGACCCTCGAATAGTACCATGCCAGAGCGGGCGCTTCTCATCGCGGTCGGACGCGGATAACATATGTTCCGTAACCGGCCCCGTTCCAGACAGATCATATATACTTCACGATTTCGTTATAATATATTTAAAGGGAAAATACGCGCGAACATGAGGCAATTTATCATTTATTATGTCATAAAATGCCCTGGGACTGCTTGATCCTCGCAGGTCGTTTAGCTTAATGGATATCCACGTTTAGCAGGTAATACATAAGTTTCAGACCTAACTGCCTTGATTTCTGAACCAGGTTCTTTCCGAAGCAAAAACATATCAGCGATTTTATTCGATAAAATATATTTGCTTTATCCGCAATGAAAATGCATAAATAAAACCTAATAAATTAAAGCGAGAGAATTCACCGCGCGGATGCGCGGATCATCTTTCATTTATATTAGAATTAAGGTTTTAATTTCATAGAGAGAGATTTTACATAACGAATATAGATGTGCTGAATTTGCGTGCCAATTTTTTTTTCCACGATATCGTTGCATTGACGCGTTTTATTATTCATGCGGTACGGCTTAGAAAAAAATTGGTTCGAGCGAACAACGCACTGCGTCTGGAATCGACCTTTTATCGGTTTTAGGATGCCCCGAATATTTCACGATGTCAATCGCATATATTGGCACCGGATTTACCGGTACAAAGGAATACAAATCATGACGCGAATGGGAAATATTTGAAATGGGTGCTCAACAACGGAGTTTACAGAAGCCCGATCATTTCGTCGCATATCGGCTGAGGTTTTTACGAACTCGCGCTATTCGTTATTTTATTCCGTGTAAAATTTTGCCTTCCGATATATTCCGATTGATATTGTATTTTTCTATCGCGTCAATTTATCGCGCTGGCGAATAAAAGCGGTAAAATAATCCTGGGTTTTGTATAAACATGATATAAAAGGTATATTAAATGTTTTTGTTGTAACAGAAGATTTTTGCTTCTGCACGTACAGACAAGGGGATGCATGTGCATAGGATGGACGTCACACGGGCGTTCCGCGTCCATGAGCTTCGAGCAATTACTTTTAGATAGGAATCACCGTTTGCCAATATGTATTTCTGCGTCCATATGGTAATTCAATCGCGGAAACGTTCGATTGCATTTCCGTTTACCACGTCAGAAACATGCCGACCTCGATTTTATCGAATCGGACAAATCGCGTATCTTAAAATTGTGCACCAACGGTCTGCGAGGACGATATTCGAAAGAAGCTGGCTCAAGACTATATTTTTTTGCTGAGTTTGAAAAAAAGTATATAAACTTCACGCAACATTATTAAGCTACCAAGACCCAGTTCGGGCCACAAATGACATTTTTCTGTCTAATTGATACTATATTTTTAATTTGTGGGATATACACAGTTGAATCACAATATTAATTTAGGCTAAACTCGGATAAGATGGCCATAGAGGAAAGATAAAGAGCGAAAGATATATAAAGATATAAATTATAAATTAACTTGTATCTTTGACGTCATGCAAGGAAAATTGATATTAACAACGTTCATGCTCATTGGTGACGCGCAGCGAGTCGAAGAGGGTTCTTTAATGAAACTAAATGAAAACTTTTCTCAGAATACTTGGCTTTCTATTTAACTATCCCGACTCGCAAACCATCATCCTGAATGTCCTTGATTAGTGAGACTTAATTCGTTTCAATGTAATTACTCGAGGTACACTCGAATTGTCGAATGTCGGATCGTCGGATTTCAAGACCAGTCTCTGAAGTCTCGTTTACTACGGGATTCGGATACCAGTTCGAAGTGTGTCCCGCGAGGATCTTCCAAATATTCGATTCAACATCCTGAGAGGAGAATCGATCGTTCATTTGCAATACCGGCTGCGAATGGATTTACTATTGTTCTCTAAATTGTTCGAGTGAGTATTTGGTGAGTTTCCAGAGGATTACAATCTACGGTTTAGAGGCTCTAGAGCTTCTAGAGGAAAGTTCGTGTCGTGTACACATAGTCTGGCATATTAACACCACTGCTGACTGCCTATCATGCATATTCCGCTCTGTGCAAACGAATATCTTCCCACTGATCAAGTAGATTCCAGAATATATCCATACTTAAACCTACGAGTCTTGGATCTACATATTTGCGCGTTTATATATTCATAAATCTTCGAATTATTGCAAATTTACGAACAAAAACGGAGAACTTGAATCGCCAGTGAATAATTAACAATTAGCAAAGGTATTATGATCGACCCAACTGGCAAATTTTATTGTTCACAAAACGCTACGTTTCGACTGCAGATTTCGGTCCTTTTCAAGCGTATAGAAACAACTCACAAATATTATGTACCGAAATCTGCGGTCGAAACGTAGCGTTTTGTGAACAATAAAATTTGCCAGTTGGGTCGATCATAATACCTTTGCTAATTGTATAATTTACGTTTCCACCTGATTCGTAAAGTCGCAAAAATACATTGTATTTATACAGTAAATTAATATGTTACTGATTGATACGTATCTTAAAGTTTTTGGATCTCAACATTAAACAATATTTCGTTATACCGAGGTCTCCAATCTGTATAAGATGCGCTGATTATGCTAATGTTTGCGAATAACGGCGTGATATTACATGCAATATTCAGGACAGTATAATAAAGCGGTATGCCGAACTGTACATCTGCGCACGAAACCTGCAATTTGTCATTCCGAGTATGCGAGTGGTGCGCTGCGTGGAGTTACATCGTTCCATCAAAGCTTTAAAGCACTGTCGTGCTGTATATTACACGCACTTTCGTTTGGGAGATATTATCCCATCTTGTTCCCGACGTATGTATACGTGTTCCTAGATCCGTAATCCGATGCAGCCGCGTTAAGCGATCTCGCTGTCTCGCGCAACTTTCGTGATTGATGAGGAAGCTGCGGGGAATAAGCCATCGAAGGGAGCTTGCAACGACTTTCGATCATACGAGCGAATTAATTTTTCGTTGAAATATTTCCCCGTACAATATCTGCTAAAGAAGACGATGAAATATATCGTTAATATACAAAATAAACAGAGCGCACAATACGACATTTTATTTAATCGTGTTATATTGCGATAAATGTCATGTAATAATTATTCCATAATTATTATCAGCGGCATTCTGTTTGCTTGTACATCGACTCTATAAATAGCAATAATCGAAAATCACGCGCAGCGTTAATAATGGACGAACGGTCTGTCCGAGTCAGATAAATTGTGGAAGATATTTAGCGAATCTCGATGTGTTCTCGGGGCTCTTCATCTCGATCGGACATCCCGTACATGCCCGAACGTCGAACATTTTCCGATAATTAGGATCGTGAGAATTTATATACCTAGCATCTCCAGTCGTATAATTCAGGAGCTGAGTAATTATTTCCGCAATCTCTCTCTCTTTCGCTCTCTCATTTTGCTGAAGATAAAAACGGTTACAGATACAAATCGTAGAAGAAAAATTGTAGCTTTTCTGTCTTTCCGCTTAAAAAATTGCGAGATGAAAAACTCCGTCTCGCTATATCCGTCGTTTAGCCGCGCTATGATATTTTATCGGCATATTTGATTCTGCTTGTCTAATATGCTCTGCATTACTCTCACAGCGGAGGATCACGAAGGACCGTAAATTGAATAGAGCATAGGCGGAGTACGCGTCCCCATTCGCTTTTGCATAATACATGTAAATGCAGCATCATCCTTGCCCTTTCAGCGAAACTCGCGACACCCGTAATCTCGGGAGATGCAGCACCCGCCGCGTCTTATAAAATCCAACGTGATAGCGACTTACGCCCGGCATCCGTGATAACGTACATATACCCGCGGCCCACAATGAAAATCGCGCGTACGCGAGCAAGCGCAAGCGTGTGCGTGTGTGTCGCATACCAGAGTTCTCCATTGCAGCTTTTCAGCCGCATAGTTTAGCGAGCTACCGGCGGTATGGCGCGGCATTATAAACCCAAAACTCTTTTAAGATGTCCTATTTACGTTCCACGAGGAAATCTTGTAACGCAATCTCTTCCCCTTGATTATAATAGAATTCAACAGAATGGCGTTATAACCCAATTTTGGCCTTGCACGAAGAAACTTCGATCGCGTTGGGAAACTTCATTTATGGAGGGACAATATTATCTCGGCTGGCCGCGAGGCTTTTATAAAACAAAATTCTCTCGTTATCACAACAATACTGTCACGGCCATTAAACCGTCATCGCGTCTACTAGAAAATCATGTCAACGTGTCCGACATGTACACGCGCTCGTATATCAGGTCACGTCCGCCCAACACATCTCCATCAGAGAAACAACGCAGTCACGTAGCCCGTTATACATCTCCGGTCTAAATGTTTCTATGAGAGCGCCATCATAGCTTTCCTATCATTTATTGGCTACAGATATATGTGCAGGTCATTCGAGAGAAACGTGTTCCAATCCATCATTTATTGGCTACAGACATTCGTGTACAGATCATTCGAGAGGATCGTGTTCCGCCCCAAAAAAATCACCAATTTTTAGCATGTCGCTTAAAAGAGATGGATTTATTCGTAATAATGGATCTGACTCATTCAGGGTACACACAATTTCGAGTTGCGTACTTATGGCACTTACAATTAATCGTACGATGTCGCTTAATCGTAATGTCAATAGCGCGTTTGATTGTCGAGGATATTTATCACCGCATCATTATCAGTGATTAACAGCGATATCATATTCAACGACTATCATGTTTCGGCATTATAGCCGCGTATATATATTTTTAGTCGTATCGCACATAAAATCGATAAAAAGATTTCAGTTTTATGTTCGCGTTGCACATTTGTCAGACTGCCGTTTTAAATATAACTCGCCGCTGATTTATATCAGCGTCGTAAACCGTGTTCCGAGATCGCGCAGCGCCAAACATATCCGTCAGGATTCGCCGGGACTTTTCCTCTTGTGTTCGCAGCCCCGGAGCTACTCGAAGTTCAACATCCACTGCATGGAGCATCCGGTGAGCTGCGTGTCGGCCGCGGCCGGGCCGGCTGCCAGGCTGCGCCAGAACAGCGTGTTCGTGGGCTCGAGCACGTCGCTGCTGCCGACCAGCCAAGAGACGCCCAGGCGAACCAAGAGCGCGTTCGATCTGCAGTCGCTGGTGCACGCGGAGGGCGCCGGGTCGCAGAACGATGAGGAGCGCGACGGTGACACGCTGAGGACCCTCAGGTCCATCGGCGAGTCGTCGCGGCTGCTGCAGCAGCGGGAGCGCCGGCCCAGTACCTATCTGTTCGACCGTATGGACGTCCTGGCGAGGCCGACGCTGCAGCGGGAGCGCGGCATGAGTATCTGTCACTTCGACAGGACGGACGTCCTGGCCAGGCCGCTGCAGAGGGACCGCGGCATGAGTATCTGTCACTTCGACAGGACGGACGTTCTGGCCAGGCCGCTGCAGAGGGACCGCGGCATGAGCATCTGCCACTTCGACCGGACGGACGTCCTGGCGAGACCGTCGTTGCAGCGCGATCGCGGCATGAGTATCAGCCCCTTCGACCGGACGGACGTCCTGGCGAGACCGGCGTTGCAGCGCGATCGCGGCATGAGTATCTGTCACTTCGACAGAATGGACGTGCTGGCGAGGCCCACGTTTCCGCCCGGCAAGTCCCTGCTGCGGGAGAGACGCGTCAGCGTGTGCAACTTCCTGGAGAGGGACGAGGAGTCGCCGGGCAGCAGGAGTTCCCTGCAAACGGACAAGCGGTTGAGCGTCAGTAACGTCGACAGAATTGAGACTCTCGGGAAATCGTCGTCGCGCCGAGACCTACGCGCCAGCGCCAATAACGTGGACACCCGGCAGGACGTAACGTTGGTGAAATGCATCACGATCAGAGAGAGAAACAACTCCGTGCATCACATCGATCGTCCATCCTGCAGCAAAACGTCCGACGTCGTGCTCGGATACAAAGCGACGTGCGTTTAATCGGCCGCTTCTTCCGGAGGCTGAAGAGAACGCGCGAAGACGACGACGACGATAACATTGATTCCGTGACCGATAGTCCAGTTGGTCTGCCTTGGACGAAATACGGCTGTGAAATTCTTTCGTAATCGCTTTTGCTTCGATGCCAGCACATCCTTTATCGCTTATATTTCTTGTATTCTTTTATGGATTCTCCTGGAAAAAAAATATCACAGCCCTGAGCACCTTATCGAATGGCCCTTATCGAACCGTCGATGCAGACTGCGATAACTAATCGCTGCATTTCGAACGTTATGCGGTTTCGAAATGACGACTCGCCCTCATTTCTCTCTTTGCGCCATAAACGTCGCTTCAATCTCGCTCGCTCGCTTCGCACACAGATGGAGAACGGTCTAGTTCTCTCAGTCAGAGAAATATTTCGCACCCATTTCCTGCACATGCGAAATTACGTGCGCGTCGGGTCTTTCCAGGTACTCTCCAGAAATTAAAGGCGTGTCGCGTGGCCATGCAAACAGGAGGGCGGACGTTGAGGATCGTTTTTCAGTTACTCTTTTTCTTTTGTTATTTTTTCTTCCTTTTTTCCCGCGGGCTAAATGTAATAACGAAATTACCTACCGCGCCCTCGATTCGGTCGGCCTTATGAATGATACATGACGGGCATTTCGACGAATTCGCCCAGGGAAATTACGTTCGTTGAATTTCCCTTCGTTACTCGACGATTTGTCGTTAATGGTATATTCGAGAGTTTCGCTAGCCGAACAATGAAACCGTAGAACGCAACTGATATATTGCGAACACAGCCGCGTCAGTACTTAAACCGAATAAATACGGCGGGAGAGCCGCGATTATATACGAGCATTGGTAAATGGTTTCATTGATGCGTTTATTCGGGCGGCCCGGAATTTTTAATTAACATCCTTGATCGCGGGGGTCTGACGAGTGGGCGGCGTATAATCAGTCCTACGGAAAAGGAATCGATCGACCAACTGCATTCACTCCTATCCAATTGTGGTCTTTATCTCTCTTTCTCTCTCTCTCTCTCTCTTTCTGTCTTTTACTCACATAGCCATAATTATAGACGGAGACTTTTTCTCCTCTTTCTCCTCTTCCTCTCGGACTGCAATCCGTTGTAGGGAGCGAATCGTAGAAATTACTCTATTCTTCGGAGAGATGAGGTCTCGCGTAGCATCTCCTCTTCTTGTAAACGTACGGGCTCTCGCAAATTGTCTGCACACACAAGGCAGCGTAAATCATTTAATTAAACGCAACGGCGCGTTCACCAAGCGCGTTCGATCGTTCGATCAGTAGAACCTGTCAACGCCATCAGCATAAGGAAAAGAACGGCACATGCTCTCAGGGATTATTATTTAAAATCTTCACTCGTGAAAAACAGTCTCTGTCGCTCTAATATAGTCCATCGAATACGCATTTATTTCTTGCATTTCAATTAAACGTTACAGAGCCTATTAATTTAGCTATAATGTTGAACGGATTGATATCGAATGTATCGGTCGGATCGTTAATTGAGCTTTGTGGTCGGCCAATGTACGAAACACGATACGTAGTCAGTGCAAAAACGACCGTACGTTTACATTTAACGATCGTAACGGTCATTAAAATTTCATTATCGCATAATGGGTTTGATTGCGCTTCTAGTTTTGGCGAGCACGTCATAATTCTACGCGATTAATGCTGTCGTAAAGTACAAAAACGTTCAAAGCATATACTATTCTAAAGTCACAGACAGAAACTATAATAATATTCGCCGTCATATCCACGAATATATCCGTAACGATATAACGAAATAATCACCTATTTTGAATAATTAATAGATTTACATGGTACATTATACATACATATACGGGAACTAAATGTCAGATATTTTCGGAGAGCCTACATATTTTTATCTGTTGGGATAAGACAAGCAGTTACTATTGAGATTATTCTTAGTATCTATAGTTCCTTCGACATTGGAAGGTGATGTATGAAGCGCGACTTACATGGGTTCGGTGCTAGAGAGCTCTTACCGAGATTCGTAGATTGTACACGTGTTTGTAGAGCACGAAATTAAAGAGATGATCTCATTGAGCCGTCGGTACATTATCGGCTTTTAATTTGAAAGTTCACGCTAAGAGATAATTAAAAGCGAGAACTGAAAAACAGAGATGTTAACTGGATAACTCTCAATGCGAACATCTCTCAATTTATTAAAGACCCCTGTCTGCTGTTTTGATGCTTTAATTAAATGTGCAACGAAAGTCACCGTGCAAAAAGCGAGAAATCAACACAGTTTTAATCCTCTATGCAGCGGAAAGCGGCCTTCAATAAAACCAAATATTACCGTGAAATTTTCTCGCGTGCATTTATATAAAAGCGGGAGTGCGAATCTCTTTGCCGACGAGATTATCATTTTATTTTTCCCTTCTGACGTAATTGTATTACTATATGTAACTAAAGCGCTCGGCTCAATAATACATATTAATCTACGCGAAAAACGTACCTCGTCTACAGTAGTCAATACATTATTGTTCCAAACTATCATGACTGTTAAATAACATAAATATGTGATCTTCTTTCTTTCATGTGAAATAAAATACTATTTCTCGCGATCAGAATCCCTGTTATCTCTATTATGGAAATTGTAAACTTTATGGAAGTATTAAATGCAGTTATAGCTCGTGATCTCTCATTGCAGATCAAAATTCATTAACAAGGGGACCTTCTCTTAATTAGCCGAGAATATCGTAGAGTAATTATATATATACGTATGTAGACACATTCAGACCAAATGTAAGCTTTAAATTTTAAGATTATAAAATATTAATAGTGAAGACTACTCATATAGATTACGCGTTAACTTTCATGGACTTCATATCTCAAACGTTCGTACTTTCGACGATTCAGACTGTTTCAATAAAAAAACATTTGAGAATTTTAAAAAGTACGCGTATTTTTTCATGGATGTCCGATAAATATTTGTGACACGGGATTTATGTACACCTCTCTTTTTTTTTGCATAAGAACGAAGCGTTGTGAAAATAACGCGTTGCATATTATATTTTGTTGAATACTCGTTCAATCCCATATTTATTTAAAAAATATATAGAAATTGCCAAATGATTTAGTAATGAAAGTATTGTTGAAGAGTGCATTTACTCCGGAAAATTCTTGCAGTTTTTTTGTAAATCTTTACGAAAACATCGAGACATTTTTATAACAGATTTTCTGTTATATTTATTGGTTGCGAAGAATTTGAAGTGTTTGAAGAGGAGTACAATATCAAAGAACTATATATGAATAAGAATAATAATGTTAGACTTATGGGATATGATTTAAAAGTATGATGTATGGTTAAAAAGATTGGATCACTATAAACAATTTGCGAAGTGGACAAATTGTTTAGATAAGGAGCGTTTATTAAACGAGTTAATGCTAATAAATTGTATACCTTATTATAACATATATATTTAATTATTTATATTTTAAGGAGTTTGTTATTTATATAATTGTAAAACTCCGATTAATCAACTGACGTTAACCGACTTCGATTTCTTAATAATTTATCATTGTGTGCGTTGGTTCGAGTAATTTTTCTAGTCATCGTATAACCATGTGTAGAAGATAATTTTGTGAACATGTTAGCGAATGACTTTTTTACAATAAATATTATTTGAAATGATATTGCAATAAATGCTTTTATTCATATAGAGGATATTTATTTTTAATAGAGAATATTTTATTTAATAAAAGCTCATAAAAGTTTCTAGTGTATCGTTATTATGACGATATTTGAACGTTAATCGCCCTAGTAAATTAATGCCATATGTTATCCTATCTCTATTGTTGTTTTTAAGAGGAACGAAACGACACACCAGAAAAATGAGCCCGTTCTTTCGCGAACTTGAGAGAAGATTGCGCAACGGCTACCGCGGCTACGACAAAGTGCAATAGTGGCGAGCGAAATCCACGGGGCTTCGCGAAATCAGTGGCTCTTTCGCTAACCGGAAATTTTCGTAAAAGCCTTCTATTTCAGAATATCCTGAGCCGTATTGCACTCTTTATTGTACGATGATTATCGCACGTGATGAGACTCGTTATCCTTGAACCTCTCGATTTTTAAAGAGGCACGTCCCAAGTAAGTATCTTCCGCTTCAGGAGCCTTCTCATCCAACTTCTTAAAATTTAAAATTCAAGAACTCAGGGATATTCTTGCTTCCACTACATTTAACAGTTCCACTCGTATTTAATAGGTTTTATAGTCTTCTGTAATTTATTTAGTTTTAATAATTTATATATTTTTATCAAGTAAGTGCAGGCTATTTATTTCAAACTGTTATTTCTTTGTTATTTGTCTCCTTTCATATTTTAATCTATATATAATGCAAGTTGATTGTCATCTGTCAGCTGTTTCTCCATAATATACTTACCATGATATTTTGATATTGATCGGACGTCAACGCATTGGATTACCTTTATAATCACGCTAAACTGCTTGAGCGCGAAGGAAACAAGCATCTCAAACTGCTTAATATGATCAATATTATCGACTAAACGTCAGTATCTCTAAACTACGCATAGAACATCGGTGTTTTTTCATATCTTTAATTTGTCATACCTTTTCTGGATTCTCTTGCGAAATATCCTCTTATTATTGTGCTATTATGCGTGAAAAGAAAATATGATTCACCAGCGCTATCTGCGAAACCTTTATTTTCGTTACTTCCGTGCGATTCAGTGATTATGCTCTTTATGGCAGACATCAACATATATAAGTATATACAAATATAGGCTGTAAGAGCAAATATTGGCTATTAAGACCGGACTTCATAAACGTAAGGTTGTCAGGAGTGCGAGGGGATATTTCTCCTGGAGGGGGTAGGAAATTGAGGGAAGCCAAGAGCGTCGTATAGTGTGCTTTCATGAATAAATATATTTCACATAAAGAACTGTTAACAGCCGAAACACACTTGGACGCAATCAAGTGATCGATCGCGAAAGACGAGCAAATACCAATGCTTTGATCGAATAAAAGTCTCGGAAAGTCCACTGTATTACGAGCGTGGAAAATCGAACGAACAGTGACTCGGACCACAGACTACCGTTACGTAGAATCTGATCAAAGCATTGGTATCTGCTCGTCTTTCGCGAACCGATCACTTGATTGCGTCCAAGTGTGTTTCGGGTGTTAACAGTCCTTTGTATGAAATATATTTATTCGTGAAAGGACACTATATAACGCTCTTGGCTTCTCTTAATTTCCTACCTTTCCAGGAATATCCCCAACATTCTCCATTAGATCGTCTTACTGATAAGAAGTCTATATCGTTTTACTGTTAAGTAACGTCTTGACTGCTTCATTCTTAAGTGGGTATTCTGGTTTGAAAGATCGTATTTTGTAGGGAAAAGGAATTTTTTGTAGGGCAACGAAAAAAGCGAATAACGTTAAACTTTATATGTTCTTTTATATCGATATATGTATATATATCGGTCATATATATGTTTATGCAAACATTAAAATTATATAAATATTAAAGATGCATTTATTACATTTTGCCAAGTTTTGTTTCATTTATTTATTTTTTACTGTTAGTACTTAGTTTTATCTGTTACATCATAAAGATTAATATGTTTCTGTTTTTATTACTACCATCTAATGTTTTCTCATTATAATAATGACGCATACGGTTTGAGTACATTTCTAGAGTCACTTTTTCTGAAAATCTTATTTATTTATCTCAGGAAATTTTATAAATATTTCACATTCCGCGCTTAGCAAGATGACACAGGCTGATAATAACCGCCGTGTTATTAGTTAACATTTTCGCGGAAATTCCTTCTTATCAAGCAAGCGCTTAAAAATTTATAATCTAAGTAATAGCTGATAAAATCTTTGCATATTTAAAAAGTGCAGTAGCTTACATTCCCTATTTTGTCTCATATGCTAAGATTGCTTAATTAAAAATTTTTGTATAAATTATTTTTATTATCCTCAAGAATATTATTAACAAAAAATTCTATCTTGTTTTCACGGAAGAAGTATTATTTCGTACATTATTAACTTTTTGGCAGTCACTATGTGAAGCTATTTTAGATTTTTAACGAATGGGTCAATCATGGGACTTCCATGTGCCTCGAATCGCCCGTGACTCAGGAAGGATCGAGGAATCGCGTGGGCTTAACATCCTGAGCCAGCATTGGCACGTTCTACTTAAGATTGTTGCTTTTGCTCATCGGACTTGTACGAACCTGAAACTAGGGCAACTATTTCGCCATCGTGGTTTGCCTCTCAGAGGGAGTGAGGGAATAAAACGAAGTACCTAGGCGAAGGCAGGTGAACTTGGAAGATTTTGAGATGAGGGGCTCATGGAGAAATGCGGCAACAGTCCGCTGGCAGCTATCAAAAGTTTCATGGAAACATTTGCGACCACGACACAAAACTGCGACTGCAAAGAAGGTGTCCCAGAAGATTCCACTTCCTGGAAGGTAAGTCAGCGTTTTTGCTAAATGTGGTGTATTTTATTAACTTTGAAAACTTTCGACAGAACTAGTAGAAAGAACAGAAACTAGAAAATACGTAAATTTCTCAGTTTTTTCTTAGTTGTATTACGATTGATTGTCAGCATATAAAATATAAATATCTATATTTCTAATATTGTTTCATAGCTGTTTTAGTATAGATGCATCATCATAATTAAAATTTTGAAAATTATTTTTTTTTTTGGGAATTATTATTCTTTCATTTCTAAGGATCTTTTGACCTTCAATTATTTTTATAATACGCAGGTGCAGATATCAAGTTTTTGTTGCTACAACATATATTATGCAGTTATGTATAATATCTTGTGTAGCAGTTACTCGTGATTTACATGTAAAACAAATTTTATTCATATACCTCTACATGCAATCTTGTAATTTGAATAATTCAATGCAGTCAAATGACAATGAAACTGAAATAAGCATAACGAGAGGCTCGTAAAATTTGTGTCGCCGTAAATAAATGTTACACCGTAAAATGGGCTCCGTTTATTAATCCGAAGTCCTCCGTGCTGTATTACGCAATTAGACGAGTTAGTGGGGATGAGAGAGGTATACAATTCTAAGGCTCTGTTTTTGACAATGAAATAGATATGATTTATGAAGGTCGAGCGTTACGACGACGCGGACGCGGCGGTGACAGTGACGATGAAGTGCCCTCCTTTTAAAGATTATTGAGGATGATTCGATTCAAGGACACGACGTTCCACCTTGACATCATTTCACATCCGATAGTACGAGGGTTAAATATATTGCTTCCGATATGTTATGTGTAATATCGTGAGATATTTCACAGACCGACAAAACCATACCAATTGTTTGCTATATTTATCTCAGTTCTATCTTTTATATTTCCCTGAGATTCTTTAAGATTTATTCTTCAAATGCATCTTCCGTACTTTTGCCGAATTTCCGGTCAGGTATCGCTTGCAACCCAGACTATATTGCATTTTTCCATTTTTCGCGTCTTCCGACACATTGGTGTACGTCTTCTGGTGAATTCCCACGTTTATTTTCACAGTCGCGAGACACCGGACATGTTCGGCCGAAAAACAGGAGGATGCCTGCCTTCGGAGGAGCTGAACGATATAAGGTGAACCGTGCGGGGCGATGCTGACGAAAGGATTTCCACGAAAGAGGGAAAAAGACTGAGAAAAAACGGAGAAACACCTAACTCGAAGCCGGTGTTCTCAACGACGTCTTCGGGGATCCGTTTTGCTCTTTCTTACGATCGACGGTCTGTAAAAAGCCGACGGGATATCACGAAGATATGTGGCCGGTGGTTTTGCACACCGAGGGCATAAATTCCCCGGGGTATACGATGTACGAAATATATACTTAACCCTCGGTAGGGTTTGCAATCTGAGGAGTCGCACATAAAACGTAAAAGTCCGTGATTAAATCTGCATGACATTTAAGACAGATGGAATAAGGAAAGCTGTAGCGTACTTACTTTCAACTTTTAAATATTAAAATCCATTATCCAAGTCAACGACTCTGTAAATGGTGCTTACGGTCTTCCGTGAGCGTTTGATCTCGGTATGCAAAATCTTTTCTAACGTTTCTAGATAATTACCGGAAACGTGGCGTTCGCGGACTTTTTTTCATGTCAAATGTTCTGCTACAAACCCTAAATTTGTGTAATTGTGGTAAAATTTCTTATACCACTCCTATAATAGTGTGTAACTAAGTACTTTTGACGTCATTCGGTGGTTGGTTTTCGCGGTACTCTCTAGCTTTAAGTGGAGCACTCTAACTATTTAAAGAAAGTGGCGTTGAAGAGAGATAGAAATTGGATGTAAAAAGGTTGATTGGATGCGTAACATATATATATATATATGTATATATAATATATATAAGAATTTGCTCGAGCATGTTTTCTTTATATTATTTCATTCACTTTGTTTCATTTGAAAAAAAAAACCTAAAAGATACTAAGAATTTTGTATATTAATTGTCCAAATATAAGTCTGATGAATTCAAAACTTATATACGTCATTTAATTATTTATGCTTCGCTGTGCGGCAATTCAGTTAATCGTCACGTCGTTACGATAGCTCGTTAGCGTCCGGATTTCGTCAGGCACTCCCACTGGCTGCCGGCAGAGACTCCTTAATTAAGTTGTAGATGACTTTAGACCAGAGA